CCCGATCAGGATTTTGGTCAAGCGTGATGAATTGACTTTTGGAAGGAATCAAGCAATTCTTGGTTGCTGTTGAAAAAGAAGAGTGGAAGTTTGATACTCTGTGCGATCTCTACGACACCTTAACCATCACACAAGCCGTTATCTTTTGCAACACGCGCAGAAAAGTTAGCCTTGTGAAGTTTAATTATTTGTTTCCCCGGTAACTAACGTGCTGTGATTCGTAGGTTGACTGGCTTACAGACAAAATGCGCGATGCCAACTTCACTGTTTCGTCCATGTGAGTACTTTTTACACTCCTGATAATCGAAAAGATGCACTCTTCTTGACCAAACTGGGTGTCGCACTTCTTATAGGCATGGTGACATGCCTCAAAAAGAACGGGATGCCATCATGGGCGAGTTCCGTAACGGATCTTCTCGAGTTTTGATCACCACCGACGTGTGGGCTCGTGGAATCGACGTACAACAAGTATCATTGGTTATTAATTGTGAGCCGTTGTGGTTTGATCCCAGTTTGCCTCGCTACAGTCGCTGACTCCCTGAACTTGTTCGGAAAGACGACCTTCCCTCAAATCGAGAAAACTACATCCACAGAATTGGTCGTTCTGGTCGTTTTGGTCGCAAAGGTGTTGCCATAAACGTGAGCACCTTTTTCTTTTAAATTTGAAGGTGCGAGGACCTATTCACTCATGTGCACTGTTTGCGCGCAAACATTCAGTTTGTTACCAACGAAGATGTCCGAATCTTGCGGGATATTGAACAGTACTACAGTGCCCAGGTATGCTTTACATTCACTAAGCCATCAGAGTCTCTAAATTTTGGGGTCTTCACTAACATTGTACCTCCCATGATAGATTGATGAAATGCCCGTCAATATTGGAGAAGTTGTTTAAGCTGCCTTGTGATGCATATCAGAACTATCATCTAAGCATAAGAATTCCTTGAGCAGCTTTCAAAGGGCCTTGCCCAGGACATCAGTATATCATTTTGGTCTCCAATCTAAACAATTCCACTTTCAATGTTTTCCCTTGTTCTCAAGTCATCATCAAACAAGAAAAAAATGAAACCCAAAGCCTGTGCTTATTCCTGTCCTGCTATCACGCTCACCTGTCCAGTCCTGTTTTTTGTTGCACCATTCAGTTCAGAATAGTTCTTTGTCATAGCCATGAAGGATGGTCAAGGTTATGCTGGCAGTATATTGTAGCATGATGAAACCAAGATGGCTAGATGACCTCACCTGATTTCACACTCCTGGCAACGGTGGGCCGCTACGCTAGCTACACTACGCTAAATGGCCCACTAACGTTAGCATAGCGGCCCTCAGAACAGCGCGCCAAACCTGTAGTGTTAGCGCGCTGTTAGTGCCACTACGCTACGCTACGCTGCGCTACAGCGCTTTTAGCGGCAAAAACAGCCAAAAAACCGCTAAAATGTGCTGTAGCGCAGCGTAGTGGGCCCTTTTTTGCGGCCCACACGTGTAGCGTTAGCGCAGATACAGAAATCTGCGCTAACACTACGCTACAATGTAGCGTATTTGCGCTACACTACGCTAGGCTAACACTACCGTTAGCGTAGCTGGCCCAGCGTTGCTCCTGGGTTTTGTGTGAGGAGGGGGGGCAATGACACTGTCACTTGCCTTTTTGTGCTTGGGCCAGTCAACTCAGTGGTTCTGACCAAACTGAATTTATATTGGAGGACTTCCTGTCAATCTGGAAGCCCTTCCAGATCCAGATCTGGAATCCTAGATTCCAGATATTTCAGAATTCCAGAATTTCCCAGATTTGCTTTTCCATCATCCTCAATTCCCAGATCTAAGAGCAACTCCAACGGAGCTGCAACTGGGCATTTGGGGGCAAACTTTGACTGCCTGGAGGGCAATTTTGCCCTCCAACGGTCCCGCGGAACAACCCTGGGAACATCCCCGGGGGCACTCCAACCCGCGATTGACCTCTGACTTCTGTGGGTCACCTCCTGGCGGCAATTCCTATATCCACCCAGCACCTCACGACGATGGCCAACACTGATTGAAAATCTTCAACAAACACCCCCACCCAAACACCTAGTTCTCCAAAGAAAAAAAAAAAGAAGAAAAACAATCAAAAAAACAAAATCAACCCCCCCCCCCCAAAAGAAACAACCACCAATACATTGCCAGAAGCTAGAAAGGCCTTAGAGCATCTCCACCGCGGGCCCTATTTGCGGGGCCCTATATGCCTCCAATAGGGACCAAAAAAATTGGATAGCAACCGAGCCGGGTTTTTTTCCACCGCTAGCGGGTGTATCAGCCTTAAAAGTTGGTGAAAGCCGATTGGTCAGAGTTGTAGTGTGCTTGAGGATGTGTGAAACCTTCCGATGTCGGAAGGTTCACACGGGATGGGACTGATCAGCCGAGCCCTATTGAGTCTGTATATATACAGCTCGATAGGGACTTTCGACCCTGGTCCCTATTATAGGGCCCCACATAGGGGCCACGGTGGCTGTGGTTTTGGGACTCGCGGGCCCTATATGTGGGATAGGGCCCCTACATAGGGCCCGCGGTGGACATGCTCTTAGTCAATAAACCCAAAGTGCTCAAGCTAGCAATTTTAGCATCCACAAACAAAGCCAGATTGGATGGCTTCAATCCCAGCCCCTCCAGCAGTGCACCCAATCAAGCAGCTTGAAATCCTCGACCATGAGCTTGAAATCTTTTGAAGGACTTGAATCCAAAGCTATTGAAGAAGTCCAGTTGGTTTCCAGCCGGGATTGTGACAGATGGCCAAGAAACATCAATTGGTGTCGAAAAAGGCTTGTTCCAGAAGGTCGATGACTCCGACCAACTCCTTGAGACTTGCATGAAAAAAGCAAGAGTGCCAAATCGAGGTTTCAAGCTCGGGTGGTCCCCTCTGGCGCTGAGGATGCCCAAGCCGACCAATGGAGTCTCCAATATTGGGTCTTGGAACAAGGTCAAGGCAATATCTACGTGGCCGTAGTTAACGCCGGTCAACAAACCCCTGATGACAGTAAGCTCAAGCAACTTATACCTCTTGATCTTGATTTTTTTTACATGACTAATCCATTCTATGAAATATTATTCAAATGATATAGAACTGGTGAAGGTAGAGATCAGTTTGAGCAAGCTCCAAACCCTTCAAAAGAGTCCCAGAAACAAGCAAATGACTGGAATAAAGTACACCGTCCGAGACTTGTGGAATAGCAAAGACCTGAGCAGTGTTGCATTCGAAGGCAAGATCGAGTCTACTCTAGAGCTTCATGACACGGTTCTTTTAAAATTCAGTCCAGTCACCCATCCCAATTAGAACCAATACAAATTCGTGAGTTGTAGCAAGACATTTCATGCTCTAAAACACTTTTACACCGGACTCTTTGCTTCTTTATACCTACTTTCAATCTTTAAAATATATAGCAACATTGAATTCTCAACACTCTTGTCTCTATTTCTCTCAGTCATTATGTCTCCTTGTTGCACATACTTCCTCACTCTTCAGTTATTTTTTCTAGTACGATTGCATGTCAGGTGCCACGAAAGTCACACACACATACCACAAAGGAGATTCTCCATCCTTGTGGAGTGGAAGGTTTGTAGGCCAATCGTCTTGGGGAGGTGGTTTGTGGTCAATCGTGTTGGGGAGGTTGGTTGGGGTGGAGGACTGCCAGTCCATTACTGGAACTGACCCGCGACCTCTGTGACATGAGGTCACAGCCTGCGGAACTCATGAAAGTTGCCCCCCGGACCGCTGGAGTTGCTCTAAGCGGCCCCTGTTCCTCAGCCTGTCAAAGGTGTCGCTTGACTTCAATCATCTCGACTTTGATCATCTCAATCTCAGCTGGACTTCAAGACAGGTTAATTATGAACAACTCCAACAACTGGCTCATTCACCATCACTTGTGCTCTGGATGACAGGATCAATTGATTTGGGTTCAACGGTGCTTGATCCGTGGTGGCCTATCATCCATCATAAATGTCCTACTTCTGTGCCGGTGTTGCTGCCATCAACTCATCTTGACGGTGAATTGCCCTTGTGCTTGCCAGCTGTTGTTTGGTCCGCAATGTTTGCCGGTGAGCAGACCCAGGCAGGTTAACATAAGTTGCCTAGGCTTAAGGGCCGGCAGGAGCATTGTCAGTTTGCCGTCAATCTGACAGGCCGCGGGTCAAGTTGCCAACCATTTGACCCGACTGGCAATCTGCCAACCAAAACAAAAAAAGACGCAACTGCCGTGTATTGACCGATTGATCTGGAAAGCTGGGAGGGGATGATGGAAACCCTCCCGTAGATTTGGAAGGCGGGGCACACCAAAAAATCTGGGAGAATTCCCTCCAGATATGGATCTGGGAGGGCCTTCCAGATTGACGGGAAGTCCTCCATTACATACCAGCTCATCAGGGGGGTTTCTTCCCCTGAAAGCTGATGTGTACAGAAAAAGTCACCCTGGGGGCCTGGTATGAATGTTGATGTTGAGGAGCAAGACACACTCATGAGATGATCTGTACATACAGTAACTGAGGGTCAGTACTGTGGGAGTCAATTTTGAAAAATGGACATTTTTTATGCCCCATGCACAACAATTGAAACAAAGTGGCGAAGTCTGTTATTGGAATTCTTCACTTTTAGGCCATAAACTGACTTTTGGTGATGGTTGGATTGAATGATATGAAGATTTGAGGAATATAAATTCTTAAAAATCAAATTTCATGCCATATGGTACTGGCCCTGAGTCTCACTCATGTTTTTTTTGACACAGACCTCCAGTAATATTGCTAGCCAATTGGCTCACTGTACACAGTAACTCAAGAGAGGAATCTCTCCTCAAGCTGACTGAACTGGGGTGATAGGTTACAAAATTGCCATCTTCAAAATTAAATTTGTAACAGCCCCTACCATGGGCCTCTCAGTACAGATAACCTGGTACATGAGTCCAGGGCCTCTGTGGATTAGGAAAGTCAAAATAATGGTCCAGTTTGTGAATCTGTTGGGTGTGAATGTGAAGAATTAACTGTTTGATTTCTAGAAAACTTGAGACCAGAATAAAAATAGAAAACAAGATTAGAAAGATTGCAGACAATTTGAGAAAGAAGAATTGAGTAAAAGGCTGAAAACTGGCTCACCTAAATTTAATAGAAATAAAGAACAAAAGGAAGATAGGGAAGAAAGAATAAAGGAATGGAAGAAAGATAGCACAATAAAGAAAATTCGTTGATTGGATAAAAGAGAGAAAGTCCTGATTGATGGGATGGGAAAATAGATCTAGAGGAATATGGATGGAGTTGGTGGAAAGGTTTTGGATGAGTAGAGTGAGGAGAGAAAAATGGGAGAGTAAGGGGCAAGATCAAGGGAGTTGAGTGTCATGTTGATTGAGTGAGATAAGTCTGGAGGTAGATAGATTAAGTTTGGTTGAAAGTTGTGCTGGTTTGAGTTTGTGCTTAAATTAAGTAATCCTCAGAGCTAAAAAAAAAAGGAGTGCCACAAGGCATGCAAGCCTAATTCCAACAGTATGTTGAGCTGGCCCTTAATTAACAAAAAAGGAAGATATCAAGACATCAAGGAATATTATGGAAAACCTGTTGAAGGAGATGATGAAACCAAGATGAATACTGTCAGCCTCATGTGCTTTGAGGACAGATGATAATTTGGGCTACCTCAAACTGCCACAAGGCAACAATATTGGAATTCCTTTTGGGGGAAAGTGTCAACCTCAACCCTCTGAAGGAGGGCAAAAAGATCCTGTGACAACTCAACTGGCCACCATAACTGGAAATAAGGATTGAATTCTTTGATAAGAATCAATCATATTTTGGGAAGTCACAATTACTCAATAAGGGAATTGATTTGTGAATAGAATTAATTATATGAAGGATATATTTACTGTTCAGCTATGCAAAAGATCCCATCAATTTCAGCACACATGTTTCAAGATTTTTGGCATACTAAGCCTGAACCATCACAGCTTGAGTGATTGTGGATTTTTATCCCCATTTCCCTTTCCTTATCTCTGTTGACCTTGGATTTATTCAATTTCAACCACATTCCTTTGGAAAAGAAACTCATAGAAGACACAGTACATTTTCCCAGTCAGCTTCTAGATTTTATATATTGTCTACTCAACTTTGGGCTGTACTGTAGCGTTGCATATTCCTCTCATCTACTATGTAGATCTATAGGACTAGTTATTCAAAGTGCTATCACATGAGGCCATGTTTGGATGTCCTATTATATCATGTTATACATTAGTCCCTGTTTGGCTGGCTGTAGTTTGTAATTTGGAGGCAAGGTTTGGCACACATTCATGCAAATATTATATATTGTTTTATATTTCATGGTCCAAATCTGTGCTAAACCTTAGCCAAATTACACATCATGATTTGCAGCCACATGGGGTCTTGAAAGTTGGAAATTTAAATATAATGCTTGGCCACTATATATGGCAGTTTTGGCCACATCTCATTTTTCTTTCTTATTTTTGGGTTTAGTCTAGGAGTCCAAAATGATGTGAGTGGCAATGAAACTACTGAAGCTGGATTGTAGAGCTTGTCTCATCATTTTATTTCATTGGTTTTGGTTTTTGGGTTTCCATTTTCTTCCTTCAGTAAATGTTAAGAGATGGTGTAAACAACTGGAGGACTTCCTGTCGCGGTTTAGAGTGTTTTTTAGACCTCTCTCAGCTCTAAATTAACACTCTAATCACAATTACAACTAGCTCACATGAGGGCCTTTACTACAAGGCTTCTGAAGAAAGATTTTTTTTTCTGCCAAAAATTAAGACCTTCATGGTGTAAATCAAATTCTGTGAGGGTCGTAAATGCTGACGGGAAGTCATCCACTGATCCCAGCCACCTTGAGATAAACATATCAAATCAATTTCCTTCCCAACACAGTTGGATTATTGGATGTATGCACAACTCCACTTATAGTGAAAAATGCACAAAAAAAAGAAATACATGTGCATATGTAACAATGCTGAGCATTTTAACTAGGTTACAACTAAATCATTAATTAGAGCAAAGGCTGTATAAACTGATTTCAAGGAAAGAAAAGAAATGTGGATTTCTTGGGTTTTAAATACAAGAAACCTGATTTGCTCAACCAATGTGACACAAAATATAACACCTTTTTTGTGTTATTTGAACAGGAGGTTATCCAGAAAAGAAAAAGGACATCACTTCTTTTAATAGATTGAACCCACACACAAATACAAAAAAAAAAACAGGGAAATGATCACAAAATACAACAAAGCAGTCCAGAAAATTGAGAGATACATGGAGAGGCAGTGTCAGGTAAATGCTGGAGCTTATTCCCAATCAGAATCTTCATCGTCGTCATGTTTATTAGTATCGGCTGGGGCGACAGTAGACTCCTTGGGTTTCTCGTCCGAAGATTGATGGGAACTGACGACGTCGAAGCTGTCGTTGGTGTCCGGTTCAGAGGCCGAGTTACGGCGCGCCTCGTTGTTCGAAGTCGAGCTAGATTTGGTGGTGCCACTGGACGTGGCCGGTTTGACGACCGGGACATCGGTCCCGTCGACAGGCGAATTTCCCCACTCGTCCTCGCCCGGTGCCGGTTCCTCCTTCTTGCCCGCCGTCGCAGAGTCTATCTTCGGATTAGAGAGGTTCGATAGTTTCGGCGTCTCCACTTCTTCAGCTCTTTCCGTTTTGCCTCCTTCTACCACCCGCCCACTGGTTTCTTTGCCTGATTTGATAATCACCATTGGCGATGGTGGCTCACTCTCATCTTCCATATCCCATGAAAAATCTCCTTCGTTGTCTTCTTGAGCGGCACCTGTGACAGAGTTTACAAGAACTTACGGTTAGTAATTCTGCACTCGGAGAATTTAACCCCATTGGGGTCACCTCTGCATGTAAACATGTAAAGTTGGGAGTAGTCCTTGGTTGACTTACTTAGGACAACTCTTCTGGCTGCTTCCTCTTGATCAATACGATGGATGCGGAAGAAATAACGAGTCCAAAAAGTTTCATCGGTCATAGAACTCGGAACTATTATCCACGAAAATTCAGACAATGGATTAATTCATCTAAACATGGGTAGCCAGTAAATCAATATAATGAAGGATTGCAGTAGATAAGACTTACCGAGTTTTTCGAGTAAACCTTTTAACGCCGATTGATCTGAGTCTTCTAACTCCAATTCAGATTGAATTCGTTTCTTCCAAGCCTCGCCTTCGAACCCACCGGCATGTTGTACACCAGCCAGAAACTCATCAAACGCACTCTGCAGACTCTCATCCTCGTCACGTGGGTCAGCTAGTAGTTGGGATTCGTCCCGTCGTAACTTAGAGAGCATCGCTTCTCGTTTGACGTCCAATATCCTCCGTTTTTCGGCTACACCAACAGCACTGGTGTTGTTTGCTCCTTCTTCAGTCTGATCAACGGATTCCAATTCTGATGGTGGAATCACTTTGACAGCATCCTGAACAAAGTCCTTCAATTCTTTACCGACGTCTTGTAGGTAAACTTCGCCTTTGGCTAAGTAACCCTCGGCCAGTTTCTGAACTTCTGAAAGGTCGAATTTACCAGAACTTGTCAGTCGAGCCGGGACGTGAGCTGGGTTGGGTAGATGAGAGATTTTGGATTGTATGGTGGCGGTTAATGATTCGCTATCTTTAGTCAGTTTGCTAAAAAACGAGCCGATGCTACCAGAGTCGAAAGTCGAGAGAGGATTGGGAGATAACGGGTTCGAATCATCAGTAGCTTGATTCTGATCTGGAGCTCGTTCTTTGCCTTTCGGACTGGTAGGGCCTTGGTTGTTATCTTTGGTGATAGTATTAGATGATGATGATGCTGAGATAGCTCGAGAGGGTGCTGGAAGTTCTACTCCATCGACATTCACAATCCTGCCCTCGGTCGATTCCAGATCAGGGCCTTTTTCGATTTCAGATGAGATGACCGCATAGCCTTCTTTGGCCTGATCGCCTAGTCGTTCGACCTCTTTCTTGGCCTTTTCGATTAGGTTTAACGAAGCAAGATCCTTACGAGCGGTATTAATCTGAGCAGTTATATTGGTCGCTGCGAGTGCTTCGGCGGACTGTGATTAACGGAGGAGGTTTATATGTCGTTTGATTAGTGTCCTTGTTCGATTTCTGTTTAGGGGCCGGAAACTTTGCGCTTCTGTTATCCTCGCCAGTGGTGGATGATGGGGATGAAAATCTTACCTGTTTTTGAACTTTTCCCCACCAACCACCTAAGCTAGCACTGACACCACCCAAGGTCTTTTTGAGATCGATAAGTTCTTGATCGAGTGAGATAGGATTTGAGCTCGTTGGTTCAGCATTAGTAGGTAGCTCGGTGATAGTTTGTGCGGATGACTCGATTGAGCTTGGTGTGGCTTGATCTGGAGGTGGTTGAGTATCTTGGGTTGAGTTCTTATTAGTAGTATTTGGTTCAGTTGTTGGAGTGTTTTCTGGTTGTGGATGGTCATACTAGATCAATCGATAGTTCATCAGCTCGAAGTGAAAGTTTGAATATTTAAGTTTGGTTGGTTGGTTTGGCTGAGGATCTGACTTACTACTGAGGGGATGTCCATCTTGAAGTGGTTCTGTTCTGGTTTGAGGGTGGAGTGGCTTGAAGTGCTGTGCATGCTGCTACAGGGTGATGATCAACCTAACTTACATAACCCTAACAGAGCCCCCATGCAAGTTAAATTAACCCTCCTCTTGCCAAAACCGGCACATCACAACTGAACACCCATGCTCATAAACTTACTACCACATCCCAAATTTAACTCATCCATCATCTCTTGCATGACTGACTCATTTGAACATCTTCCTGGAGCCAAATCAACTTCTCATCTCTAGTTAGTCAAATTCAAATTCAAATTCAAAACTATCCAGTTGAAAAGACGAAACACATGACAGATACATTTCATCAGTGAGGAGGTGAGTGGGGATAGTGATTGAAGAAACAGAAGAATTCTAACAAAAAGCAGTCAAACGTCTTTGATCTAGAATAGAGACCTATTAAGATTTAAAAAAAAAGATAAGTTGAGCGATATACATCATGTTATTGGGGGCCAAATCATGTGCATATTGATATGTGAATGTATCTGTTGTAAAAAAGGGGGAAAAATTTAGCGGAGTACAATCGAGTGGAGTTATCTATAATCAAGAGGAGCTAAAACCCAAAAAAGTTAACATGAATTATTGGTGAAAGGATCTACTAATTAATTATTGAAGCGGGTCACTTGCAATTATATTTACTTTTGTTTTTATGTTGATGATGATTACCGCAAGTATTTCGGAGTTGGGTCCACCATTAGCAAGAATAGAAGATGTTCCAACCAACCTACACCGCTATCGTTGCGAAACCAGTATGAACTGCAGCCGAGGGGAAAGGGCGAGAGAATTTAATGGGCAGCATCCCAGTGCTGTTTTAGAGCATTGAGGATAGCGTTTGCAGTCATCTGGATCCCCCACCTGCCCACCTTATGCAACCGATTGGATTGCGCAACCTTGTCACTTCCGACGTGGTAGGCCAAGGCTTCATAAACCTGTTCCGAGATGATCTCGATCAGGCCGATGTCATACGTCGTCCAACTTCCATTGAACTCCTCCTGTACAAATTAAAAAAAAAGGGATCAGATCAATACGGCCAGAGCGAGCAGCAGCGAAACTTGCTTACCAGGTCAAGCTTCACCTGACACTTGATCGGTATCAACGTCCGATTGGCATTGATAAATGCTACGATAGGTCGGACAAGTGCATTATTGACATATGATAAACTGCTGCTGAAGATCTATTCATAATATCATTTGACATCATCCAGCCGGCTTTGGATCAGCATTTTAATCTCTACTCATTCAGTTTTGCTAAACCAGGCATGATCACTCAACGGGTACGCTGGCTTTAAGATCTTTGAATCTCAAATCTAACTCGATCGCGACTTGTTCTTCAGTTTCTTGATCGTTTCGCTCCAAGAGCAATTCATCATTTTCGTGATGGGATGCTAGGTCAACCTTCAACGACTCTTCCACGTTGGGAGACTTGAGATGTGGCTTGATCAGGTTGCGACGCTCGCTAATCAATCCGTTCCGTTTGCTAGAAGGATGATGAGCAGCATCATCATTCTCATCCCCAGTTCGTTGATGGATCTCTAGTTCTTTTTCGAAGTTGTCCACAATCTCTCGGACCACCGTCCTTAGATCGAGCTCGTCGATCTCGAGTGGCAGCCGGATATCCGCAATTACGTCCACCCGGCCGCTATTGATCCAGCTGAGAGGTCCATCAGAGCCAGGACCAGTCGAGTTACCCTGTAGGTGATCGATCGGAACACCATCGATCCGAAACCTTGAGAGTCTGGTCTTGTACCGCTTGTACGATTCTCGCCCGTTCTCGAGCTGTCTCGATGATAAGGTTTGGTCATAGAGCCCTGCCTTGGCATTTGATTGAGTGATTGATTGAGGCTTGTGCAACGAGAATAAGCAGTTATCCACTTGTCCAGTCATTTGCTCTGCGCTCAGAAGGTCGAGAAACAACCACTGTTTTCTGAGTTTGTGGAAGGTAGCATTAAAAATCGAGAAGGTGTACTGTAGTTAAAACAAAATTATTTAAGGCCCTTTATCAGCTTTGTATTTTTCAACTTAATTTGTTTGAAGGGGGCGGAAACTACTACTACTACTACTACTACTACTAGTACTACTACTCACTGGTCGAAAGTTACTTGGCTGGAAGATGGTGACCAGTAGGTCTTCAATCATGACCTGTTCGAGATGAAAATCGCCTGCCGTCGCCACTTTCCTGAATTCACGTCTATCAATTGGGGTGGCACTTTCACCAGACCAGGCTGGGAGGTGAGAACGATCGATCACGCCTCTTACACCTCTGACTTCAGCTTGTCTGAGCAGTCCTTTGCCATCGAGCCAACGACCAAGACTCAGAGTGACATCGATAGAAGCAATCGTGAGGTGGAAGTGAGTGCAGTTGGCTAAGGCTGGATCTGGTTCTGAGGGTGTTGTAAACTCTGGGAAGTGAGACTCTTGTTCTGATGCTGTGGGGTGTTGGTCGGGGTGGAGTGGGGAAAGGTCCAGGGTTCGACGAGGGGTCGGGTTGGGGATGTTACTGTCCAAAACGAGACTCATTAGTCTGGCTGCATCGGGCCCTAAGGAATGACCACCACGAGAGACCCGAACATTTTCGAAACGAATCATACCATCGGTCCATCGGGGCACGAGAGCAGAGTCAAATGAGATCTCGACTCCGCTTGCGTTTGACAGTCGGTTACTCAGCCAACGGGCTACGAGGTCTTCCATGCCTGCCTTGTTGAAGAGGAATAGGAAGATACCCAGGAAGGTGGTCGTTCCGATCGCAGCAAGGATGATATTGATCAGCACGAAGAGAGATGCAAAGGCTGAGTAGTCGTCGGTGCGATAGGGATGGAAGGAGCGGATCGTGAGCCATTTGAGTCGGATATGCAAGCGATCAAGGGTCGATTTGGTGAGAGGCAGGAGATCGGAGGCTGTAGGTGGATGTCTGAGGTTGGAAGGTAGTTTTGAGGCTAGTGATCTGATCGAGGGAAGATAGCTGGCGATGAGTGATTGATGATCATGCTGCTGAATACCACCTGGATTAGGCGGCTGTATCTTTGATGTGGATCTGGTAGGGTCTTGATCTGATGTTGGAGTAGATTTGAGGTGATGGGGATGTGAAGAGAAGGGAGGATATTTGAATTGGCTGGAGTGATTGGATAGGATTACAGATGGAAATCGTCGGAAACCAGTAGACAACCCAGACGATCGCAGCCGATTTAGAGGGAAGCGGCGAGACAGTTGACCATACGATATCATTACTCTTATTGAGAAACTACGTCGTCGTCCGATAGAAATTTCAAGATCAAAGTTGGAGGATAGTGTTCAGTTGAGCTGAGGATGGTAATTTTTTGACACGGAGATGGGTGGGCGAGTGGGGATGCTCGAGCGATTGAAGGCTTGCGAGCGCATCTTCTTCGAGATCACGAAAACGAGCGAGGAAGATACATATTTATGTGTGTATTAACGAGCAGGAGGAGCCCATCGATCTGACGAAGAACTGAATCAGAAGGGGCAAAAATGCAGTGGTCAGTTAACTCTGTCGGGTAGTTAAGCCTCGGGGAATTTCTTCCAACCAAATATGTTTGCTGCACTCACACTTTGTTCGAGAGAGGTTTCCGTGCTCGGCCATATGTGACCCGAGATGTGGTTTCTCCGCTGGGGGATGGCCAAACGATCTAAAATTTTCCTTATTCGAAAGTCCTTCGATCGGGATCGGATATTGCATATATTCAATAACCTT